TACAACGTATGCAGTACCCCTTTGAATAAGAAGACTAAGGAAGGAGCATAATGCTATCCATGTATTCATGCATGGTGGGCGGAAAAGCCACCATAAAAGCTCTCTAGGGTGGGGATCCTTGACAGTTCTGTTTGACGATTCATTTGACACATTTGAATTTGATTTGAAATTTTGTGGATCTGTCAGTCTTTACGGAGCTTATTTTATGTTATTTATTATTTATTCTACTACTGATAGTTGTATAAAGGTAGTAAATCTAGATGGAAATTGTGGCAGAACTTAAATTAACAGTGACACTATCGCGATTTATCGAAAAAGACTCTAAAATAGTTGGTTGTGTAGCGTGCGGTAGATCTCGGCAAAAATTGAGTGAAATAATGGAACAACTTTTCGCTAGTAAGTGACTATATAATATACATACGTGTAGTAAACCGATCATTTATGAAATTCACTTAAATTAACTAAATTATATATTTTTCTTGCATTTTAGCTTTTATTTATTACTTGTCAAAAGATTAGATGTCAAAGAATTTAGATACGTTAATTTGACTTACCTGCTTCAGTAGCGTATCGGATGTTTGTGTTAATAAATACTTATTATAACTTATCTATTTTTATTAGAATTATATATTTTTATAACAATTTTAATAACTACCAACATTTATTCACAACGTAAAATAAAACAACAAATTATTGAGTCTACCCCACGTCTACCCTACATCATAGTTTTACATTTTTTAAATAAAATTAGAACGACACTGATAAACCGGAATTTAAGTCGGCCATATTTGAGGCCCATCGCGGTGTACCTAAGATTTTTGGTATGCTCCTTCCTCAAAGCAGTACCCCAAAACAATTATAAGTTTTGGCGGCAATCTAAATTTATTTCCTTTATCTATGACTAATGTCGATTTTGAAAATAGTTACTGTCAGTAGAAAATTTCCATGACGACACCAGCCATTTTGATTGCCATTTTATTTAAAAATCGCTTTTTATTCTTATGTTTAATATCACTCACTAAAGTTTGGTACACTGTTTATATACTCCCTGTATACCTTTGAAACTTATACCCCTTTACAAAAGTCTATACCTGACTCTACACGAATTTCTTGAGAGTTGCTCGTTTCCACACATACTTAAACGTCATCAAACAGATTTTTCTCTTCTATAGATGTGTGTATAGATGTCTAGATTCCAACCCTACGTTCCAAAGGCGACGAAGAAAGGCTTCCGTCTTCATTACGTAGCCGGGAATATTATGGGTTTGAAAAGGGGGAACGACTTTCCGGCGAATCTAATAACGTTTTCAATTTGTCTGTGTGTCACTTAGTTTCATTAGTTTACGGGGAAATATTTTTCCGAGAGGATTGCCGAAAGGAAAACAGCCAAACGACTTGCTGTCGTCTCGCCGCGATATTAAATTTAAAACGAATATATTTTCGGAAACGGCGGGAAATAAAAGAAGTCCTAATATATTCTAGTTTACGATATGGTATAACATTGGCAACTAGATCTAGTAAGGATTGAAGCCTATGAACTGAATTGGGTCTTCATTAAGATCATTATCCATTAACTAACAAAAACCTACGAGCATAACAGATACACTAGATTATACATAGTTTAAAGTGGAGCCCAGCTGGCAAAAGAATACTACAGAGAGACGCAATATCCCCAAAGCTGTTTACAGCAACACTAGAAGAAATCTTCCGTCAACTAGATTGGACCAACAAAGGATTAAAAATAGATGGAGACGATCTGAGAACCGTCTAAAAGATTCGCTGATGACATAGTCCTAATTGCCAATAGTCATGAAAAACTACAAACACAAATTACGAATAACCAGCAATAAAGTAGGTCTCCAAATGAATTTAGCAAAAACCAAAGTAATGCACAATGAAGTAGTAGGCAGAAAGGACATTCCCAAGCAGCATTTGGACGTCGGGACAACGTTGTGTCACGCGACCAAACGTCGGGGCGCAACGTCGGCACAACCTCGTGCCAACCCTAGTCTGCACTAGTTTGGAGAATAATTTTTGGGTCGAAACGACGTTGGATACCGACGTTGGCTAGAAGCCTAATTTAGTACAAACTGCAACGTTGTTTTAAAATCCTAATGCACAGAAATACAAAACTAATATGGCGTCTAAGTCGCGTTTTATCCTAAATTGGGATAATTATAGTAAAAATATTATTTTTATGATTTAGTTAGAGACATATGTCAGATGGCAGTGAAGGAAAACAAAACAAAAGTATTTAAATGTGGAGGATGTTTGAAGATCATAATTATTGAAACACTTTAACCGACTCTGTAACTCGTTACCCAAGGCAACAATTTAAACGCAAACAACTTTATTGATAAATGTATTGTTTCTACTTTGAAAAATACTAATGGGCCTTAAAATTAAAGAAGTTTTAAAATTTTCTTGAATTTTTTTAGTAAAATGAGAATAATTTATTCGCAGTCGAAAAAATTGGTTCCGCGTGTTTTTAGGGTCAAATATTTCAAGTTAATGTATTCAAAAGCAGGAATTGCTATTTTAGGAACGAAACATTTTCTTATTTAACAACATGGCGGCTTTCACTTTGTTGTTTTGGAGATTAAGATGGAGTAGTTCGAGTAGTCGCATACTGGACTAATAAAGTCGCAGTTCGGCCTTAACAGGTAGTATACTAGTCGCAAGATTGCCTAATAGTCATCCTAGAGTGTAGCTTGTGCCGCACTCTATAATCTAAATAAACGAGGGAGTGGATAAACTATCGGTAATATATGTCGATGTATATTTAAATTTAGTTTTATATGTACCTTTCTTATGTCCCATTTTAATTAAGTTTTTTTTTATAAAAACAAAAACAGCACTGAACTGTCTGACTGAACAGAACAATGAAGTGAAAATTTAAGATTTAAGGTTATGGTTCAATACAGTTGCAAAAAGGTAGTGACTCAACGTCTTACCAACGTAAGAATAAGGAAATCTAAACAACGTTGGAATTAGTAAAACAAACGACGTTTGCATAACGTTGGAATAGGTCCTGAAACTGACGTCGGAAAACTCTATATTGTCCAACGTTGTAACTACGTGGTCCGAATCACCTAAAGATCACTTAAGCAAAAAAGGTTACAAGACAACGTTTATTCGACGTCGCAGAAGCTTCCTACTTTGCTGTAGTACTAGTCCAACGTCGGCACAACGTTATAAAAACGTTTAAATTTATTTTAATACCCAAGGTAGGGAGCTAACTATTTTTTGTAACTAATCCAACGTTGTGTTTAGTAAACATGTGGTCGCAAGTCGTGAAAATGCTACTTGGGTTCTAATAAGTAACACAAAACTGAAAATAGTAGAAGAATACATATATTGGGGACAACTAATACACAGCTCGGGATCTCTACTACCAGAAATCTTCCAAAAAAATAAGTTAGCGTAAGAGTACTTATGGAAAAAACTCAATCATATTCAAATCTAGAATGCCACTCTACCTAAAGAAGAAAACGTTCGACTAATGTGCACCACCGGCCATGGCCTATGCATGCGAAACCAGGACACTTAAAACAGACATCATAAGGAAACTGCAGGTCGCACAATACTCAATGGAACGAAATATACTGGGAATAACCAAAAAAGACCGTAAAAGAACAGAGTGGATACGACAAAAGACCAAGGTATAGATGTCATTCACAGAGTCAAATCCCTCAAATGGCAATGGGCAAAATAGCTGGCAAGAAGGACGGACAACAGATGGACCACAAAAATTACACCATGGAGGAATTAAGAGACATAGAAGAAGACCGAACCTGAGATGAGACCACGATATTAGGAAATTAGTAGGGATAACTTGGGCCCGCATAGCCAACAATAGACAACCAATGGGCCCAACTACAAAGAGAGTATCTAAATATGTCTACACCATAATTGGAAATGGTTGAGTAAGCTGAAAATAATGATGATGATGATTTGCAAAACATTACAGATATATGGACCTGCTGATACTCGAAATTCAAATAGATATATTTAAATACCTTGTACATTTAAAATATTTTTGCATCTAATAAAAAAAACATAATTTTCAGACATTTTTGATTTTCATATTGAGTATAATTAAAGATGTAGAGAATTGTGTCTAGAATTTCAAACAACATGAAAATTATAAAATAATTTTGCATAATTTATATGTACTTGATTCTCCTTCCTTTCTTACCAAATAAATCACTAATATGTACTTAATCATCAACACAGTCACATTTATCCTTGACAAATTAAAAGTACGTTACTAATAATGAAATTTTTCATCACTTACAATGGATTACAAAGCACTACTTTAAAATTGTAATAGATATTTGTAAGTATAAGTATAATACCTAACAAGTTTTAACTCTAAAATATTTAGTGAACAAAAAATATGTTTGTGGTACTAGTACGTTGTACAATCCAATCTGTTCACGCTTAAATAACTACAACTCATGTATAAATTGTATAGATCAGGATATTAGTAGTATCTAGGCACTTGATATTAAAAAAGAGTGAAAGATCTATAAAAACGAGTTAATTGTATAAACATTCAGAAAATAAAGACAAGTGTCTTAAGTTAACGTCTCCTTTTCGCTGCTAAGGCTACTTTGGACGGGGCCTACTTTGTTTACGAGGAATGCGAACCGCGCTCCTCGGCCATATCATAGTCAATAGCCTACCGACTTGGCGACCGAATGTCTAAAACTACTCTTACGGGATATCCAATCTCATCCGGCCTCGAACCAGCGTAAATGAGCAGTATATGTCAACAAATTTTACACTGTTACCATGGAACAGCAGCACGACATAATTTACAGACGATCACCTGTCTATCCACTTGCATAATCTAATGTCGCTTAACTTCGGTTAAGCAACGGGCGAATTATCGGAAACCAGTAATAAAAGTCACAAATAACACTTTTATTTCATATTAATACATATTTTGTTAAAATTCAACCAAAACATTTTTTTAATAACCCTCTTTGTTACAGTGCTTCACCCACCGGCACCTTGGCTGGAAAATCAACGTCCTAGACACCTGCGACGAAATCGCCTCCGCCAGCGAAATAAAACCCGTAGCGGTAGTACCTCCTCCATCCTTCACATCCGACATCGAACTGGAGGCTAGCCCTTCAGTAGTCCAGGAAAAAAGGGTAATGATCCCAAACAATATTTTATCCCCTGAGCTCAAAGCCCATAAATCTCACCCTACCGTTTCAGAAAGCACTAGCCCATTAGATGATGTCACGTCGTCCTCACCCATTAGTCAAGCGGTTACTAGCGACACGAAAAGTACAAAGATACCTAAACGAAAAGTGTTTCGCTATAAACGCCCCCGTCGAGTTGTTCCTGAGGAAGCGGTGAGTTCGAAATCCCAGCCAGAATACACACCGATACGTCGAAACGTTAAAAAAGTCGATTCGGACTCGATAACTGAAGTCAAGAACGTAGAAATCTCCCCGATGCACGTGTCGCCAGTACGAGACCCAGATCATTCAGAAATCGACTTAAAATCTCTCATGAATAAAACCAAATCCCCAATAAAAAACGAAATCAAACCTGACATTGACCCAGAAGGCCAGATTGGAGTCATTGAGATCAAGGGAGAAGAAAAAATCGAGAAGAAAGAAACCCTTAGTCACACCAACCCTCCAAGAAGAAAAAAATACATAAAAGTTTTCAAAAAAACTAAAACCCAAAACGCAGACAAGATAATTCATACCAGAAGCCTACTACAGTCAGATTTTGAACCTGAAACAGCTGCAGCTGACAGAGTTGAATCATACTATCTCCCTCCAGCAGGCCAATCACACAAACCCAAAACATCTTCACCAAAGCAACCATCAAACATTGATTTCGAGACTGTAACCGCTAGTAGATCATCAGCAGCCTCCTCATCACCAAAATTAAGTGGAGGAAGTTCACCTCCAGACGTACTTGTGACGTACGATGGTAAAAGAGTCTCTGGGGCTAGTCTGACAACAAGACCGTTTCAAAAATCAACACTTTTAAGCCAAAGGGGTTCAAAAGCGGCAGAATTGATTAAAGCCAGGCCCCAATTTGTGCCTTTTAAAGGTGAATTACCACCTTTGAACCCGGATGTTTTATTTGACACCAAGCACGTGCAGCGGGATTCGAACGTAGGTGTTCTGAGCAGGGATTTGGACACGCCGCTTCCTCCACCATCTGGATCCACCAAATTAACCAGAATCAGATGAGAATGTAACGGATTGATAGTCAATATAGTTGCGTTTAAATTGTATTTGATTCACTTTCATATATTAAGATTCTAAAACTTATTATTTTTTTTACAAATTGTATATTCAGAAACTGCATGTTATTCATTTGTAAATATATTTTAATTTAATTCTGGCAAAAGGACATTCAATGTTATTTGTCGAACGTATTTTGCACTATTTTATGTGTATTCTATATACGTAGTTAAAGATAGTTAATTTGTATATTTCTTACGTTGTTTTTTATATATAAATATATTTTTTACATACAAATTATGTTTTTGCATTAAAACCAATAGCCGTAGCACCTCCGCCATCTTTCACATTCATCGTCGAACTGGAGGCTAGCCCATCAGTAGCCCAGGAAACATGGGTAGTAATCCCAAACAATATTTTTCCCCTGAGTTCAAAGCCTAGAAATCTCACCCTACCGTTTCAGAAAGCACTACCCCATTAGATGGTCACGTCGTCCTCACCCATTAGTCAAGTGGTTACTAGAGACACGAAAAGTACAAAGATACCTAAACGAAAAGTGTTTCGCTATAAACGCCCCCGTCGAATTGTTCCTGACGAAGCGGTGCGTTCCAAACACCAGCCAGAATATACACTAATACATCGAAACGTTAAAAAAGTCGATTCGGACTCGATAATCGAAGTCAAAAACGTAGAAATCTCCCCGCTGCACGTGTCGCCACTCCGTGACCCAGATCATTCAGAAATCGACTTAAAATATCTCATGAATAAAACCAAATCCCCAATAAAAAACGAAATCAAACCTGACATTGACCCATAAGGCCAGATTGGAGTCGTTGAGATCAAGGGAGAAGAAAAAATCGAGAAGAAAGAAACCCTTAGTCACATCAACCCTCCCCAAGCAGCATTTGGACGTCGGGACAACGTTGTGTCACGCGACCAAACGTCGGGGCGCAACGTCGGCACAACCTCGTGCCAACCCTAGTCTGCACTAGTTTGGAGAATAATTTTTGGGTCGAAACGACGTTGGATACCGACGTTGGCTAGAAGTAATTCTAGCCAACGTAATAATGTATAATGTATTGTAATAAATAATAAATGTATTGTTTCTACTTTGAAAAATACTAATGGGCCTTCAAATTAAAGAAGTTTTAAAAACTTTCTTGAATTTCTTTTTTTTAGTAAAATGAGAATAATTTATTCGCAGTCGAAAAAATTGTTTCCGCGTGTTTGTTAGGGTCAAATATTTCAAGTTAATGTATTCAAAAAGCAGGAATTGCTATTTTATAAACGAAACATTTTCTTATTTAACAACATGGCGGCTTTCACTTTGTTGTTTTGGAGATTAAGATGGAGTAGTTCGAGTAGTCGCATACTGGACTAATAAAGTCGCAGTTCGGCCTTAACAGGTAGTATACTAGTCGCAAGATTGCCTAATTTAGTCATCCTAGAGTCTAGCTTGTGCCGCCCTCTATAATCTAAATAAACGAGGGAGTGGATAAACTATCGGTAATATATGTCGATGTATATTTAAATTTAATTTAATATGTATCTTTCTTATGTCCCATTTTAATTAAGTTTTTTTTTATAAAAACAAAAACAGCACTGAACTGTCTGACTGAACAGAACAATGAAGTGAAAATTTAAGATTTAAGGTTATGGTTCAATACAGTTGCAAAAAGGTAGCGACTCGACGTCCTACCAACGTAAGAATAAGGAAATCTAAACAACGTTGGAATTAGTAAAACAGACTACGTTTGCATAACGTTGGAATAGGTCCTGAAACTGACGTCGGAAAACTCTATATTGTCCAACGTTGTAACTACGTTGTCCGAATCACCTAAAGATTACTTAAGCAAAAAAGGTTACAAGACAACGTTTATTCGACGTCGCAGAAGCTTCTACTTTGCTGTAGTACTAGTCCAATTTCGGCACAACGTTATAAAAACGTTTAAATTTATTTTAATACCCAAGGTAGGGAGCTAACTATTTTTTGTAACTAATCCAACGTTGTGTTTAGTAAACATGTGGTCGCAAGTCGTGAAAATGCTACTTGGGTCCAAGAAGAAAAAAATACATAAAAGTTTTCAAAAAAACTAAAACCCAAAACGCAGACAAGATAATTCACACCAGAAGCCTTGTAGAGTCAGATTTTGAACCTGAAACAGCTGCAGCTGACAGAGTTGAATCATACTACCTCCCTCCAGCAGGTCAATCACACAAACCCAAAGCATCTTCACCAAAACAACCATCAAACATTGATTTTGATACTGTAACAGCTAGTAGATCATCAGCAGCCTCCTCATCACCAAAATTAAGTGGTGGAAGTTCACCTCCTATATACGTACTTGTGACCTATGATGGTAAAAGGGTCTCTGGAGCTAGTCTGACAACAAGACCATTCCAAAAATCAACACTTTTAAGTCAAAGGGGTTCAAAGGCGGAACGTAGGTGTTCTGAGCAGGGATTTGGACACACCGCTTCCTCCACCATCTGGATCCACAAAACTAACCAGAATCAGATGAGAATGTAATGGATTGATAGACAATTAGTTGCGTTAAAAATTTATTTGATTCACTTTCTTATTTTAAAATACTAAAACTAATTGTTAATTTTTTACAAATTGTATATTCAGAAACTGCATGTTATTCATTTGTAAATATATTTTAATTTAATTCTGGCAAAAGGACATTCAATGTTATTTGTCGAACGTATTTTACACTATTTTATGTGTATTCTATATACGTAGTTAAAGATACTTAACTTGTATATTTCTTACGTTGTTTTTTATATATAAATATATTTTTTACATGTCCTGTTATGTTACACGTCCTGTTATGTTATGTTACATGTACTGCTGTCCCTGGTGATGTTCGTTAAAAAGCATTCCGCCCTTTTTGCTACGAACTCGAGTCACTATGGTCCAGATATGGAACGGATTACCAGGGGGCGGGATGATTTAAGCATACCTCTGCATAGCTCGTCTTTTTTTCGGAGGGGCCCAGGCTACAGGGCGGTCAAGGCCTTTGAAATGCTCCCAGGAAATATTAGGGCTGTAGGTAGCGATTACCACTTTAGGGGGTCGGTGTTGGAATTTTTACATACACACGGTTTTTATAGCTTTAACTTTGAATTTTAATTATGTCCTTTGTCTGAATATTGTTGAATTTTTATTATTGTTATATTTGTGTATTTATTACTATGTTTTAATGTTCTAAGATAATATACTCTGTAATGGGATAATATACTCTGTTCTGTGACGTTGCTTTGTAATCGGGAAGATCATTTTGTCGGCAATAAAGTATTTGTATTTGTATTTGTACATACAAATTGTGTATTCATACAAAATATCTGTATAATCTAAAGTAACAAACGATGAAAAAAAAACACGGCGTCTGAAAACGTTCTATCCTTTTTTACTTTTCCTATAATTACTGTTAATTTTTGACGAGGTTTATGTCAATGTTAAGTAAATGACATCTGGAGATCGACCTCGCCAAAATTATTATCGATTGTCATTTCCACGCCGTCTTTGATCAGTTTTTTTTCGATTACACGGTATATGGCTGACTGAAGTCTAAACCCTCCTGTCCTTGCAATGCACTAAGAACTACTTATTGAAATAAGAAAATATAAGGAAAATAAAACAAACAACACCACTTACATAACTGTATTTAATTTAAATAATTAAGAAATTACACTGTTTACCTTAAAAGGTAGTGCAAGTAGTGCAACTAATAATCTTATCAAGCAATAGTCACGAATACTAACCTTAAATCGATAATTTTATATTCCTAAGGAATAACTTTGATACTGTTTCGTATCTTTTAGAATTGCCTTAGTCACACATAAAAAAAGACGACAATATTTCATTAATACAATATTTTCGATTATAATATGGCCGCAAGGCTTCGCTCCGACAGACAACTAAAAAAAATCCCGCTCAATAATAATTAAACAATCTTTAAACTAATGTGTAGCCACTTAAAATTAACACCAGAAGCAACGGCCAATCATGAAATCACTTGATATTATTCTACACTGTTCAGAATATGATTCAGAATCATTAAAAAATATATTTTCTTGCCCATTAACGTCATTTGAAAAGCTGACAGTTAGCTGTCACTGCCTAGATTTTTAAAGAAAAAAGAATGTGTGTGAAATCAGAAAATAGTACTATCTAAATGATTTCTAATATACAAGGTGTTGCTTAAGCAGTCTTATAGGGTCTTATATGCGACACCTATTTTAGAGCCTTATACAGGGTGTCCCAGGGTGAGCGTGCATTAGAAGTTTCTAGAGAACTACAATATCTAGATCGGAGATTTTTTGCACATCATTGTTTTACGAGATCTATCGATTAAAAATATTTTCAATATGACGGCACTTCCGAACATACCGGAAGTTGACAGCAACTTTCTTATTTTAAATGGGTGCCCCCATTTTTTATTACATATTTAAATTCTCTGTAAAATTTTATAAATTTTGATATTAAACACTCTATACCTAACAGTAACCGTTTTTGAGAAAAAAAATATTTAAAATTTTTTAATCGCTCAATTCCATGACAGCTATGACTATTATTATATGACATTTGAACAATTTAATTTTTGAAATAGATAGCCATATGTCTTCTCTTTTTGGTACAGTGACTGTGATAATATCTAAGTTTGACTTTTAAGCTATACAATTTTTTTAAGTAGTTTTTTTTCTTCCAAAAATTTTAAATAATTTTTTCTCAAAAACGGTTAATGTTAGTAAGGTATAGAGTGTTTAACATCAATATTCATAGAATTTTACAGAGAATTTAAGTACGTAATAAAAAATGGGGATACCCATTTAAAATGAGAAAGATAGTGTCAAATTCCGCTATTTCCGGAAGTGCCGCCATATTGAAAATATTTTTAATCGATAGATATCGTTGTAAAACAATGGTGTGCAAAAAATCTCCGATTTAGGTATTGTGGTTCTCTATAAACTTCTAATGCACGCTCAGCCTGGGACACCCTGTATTAGAAACGACTGTGGATATAATAGCAATGTTCTCAGCTAATACAAATACAGGTAACAGAAGTACAAAATTATGTTTTATATTAAATTATGTTTTAAAAAACGAGATTCCTACTACCTTATCAATATTTAAAAAAAATGCATAAAACATACTACCGAGCGTGACCTTTTTTCCCTTCATCCTGTCGGTGACGAACGCCTTCCTCGCTATTGCAGCGCCGTTGCCGCGTCTACTTGGCGGCGTTGCCGTTCTCCTTGGGCGCCGCGGAACGGCTGCGCGAACGCGACCTCGACCGCGAACGCCCTCTATCGTTGGAGCGCGAGCGGCTGCGGCTCTTCTTGGCCGACGCGGAACGGGAGCGGCGCGACCGGGAACGACTGCGCGATCTCGAATTGCTCCTGGAACGGCTCCTACGATCCCTGGATCGGCTCCTAGAACGACTGCGAGACCTGCCAAACATACGAACGGCGATTATAGGGGGTTTGCGTGGGTGTTGTGTATGTGAGGGTTGATAGGTTTTGAAAAAAACGGATTGTTCACCTTCTAATGTGAGTACAAGTAGTTAAAGAGAGTCTGATCATTATTCATACAGGATTGAGCCAATTAATGTGCTATTGAATCAATGAAGTACCTTTGTGGCCGATTCATTTCTTTAAAAAACTGGGTTTTTCGATACTTGAAGTTTGATTTCATGTCATTTTAACACAACGTCAACGATTTATAATAGACGTATCTTCTAAAAAAAATAAAGCATTCTTGAATAGTTGTATTTAGATATATTAAATAGTTTTTTCTTTGTTCTTTGTTTTTTTTTTTGCTTCCGACAACGGGATAAGATATACCTCCTGAAACGTTAAGCAATTTTGTCCGTTAGGCAAATTTGTTTTATTAGTAAAATACCTTAAGTGTCTAATCTAATAGTCTCCGTTGGATCAACGCAGCGGTGTTTACAAAAAATGCCCAATCTAAAATGACTCGACTTTTTTACACTTCAGTCTTTCAAAGATCATATTTTTTGAAGACTACACGGAAAAATAACAGATATGTCACATTTTTATAGAAATTAAGATAGCGACACAAGTTTATAGGCAAATGTTAGCGTTATGCGAGGCACCATCAAAGAAAGCAATAATACGCTTAGTCCCAGAGATATACAGCTTGGTTATTTTGCCGTACAAGGGAAAAACCAGAGTAGTCCGAGTGTAAATGGCAAAAACCAGAGATGTCCTTACGCATGGGTGACAAGCATGCATCTTGCAGTTAGCATTGCATGTAGTAAATTTATGTATTTTAATAAAAATCTATTTAAATATTAATTTTCTTCCTACAACAAAAATAATAGTTTAGATTTAGGTTTTATACAACCCTTAATTGGACATCCGTGGTTTTTCCCCTGTGTTTTGCTTTTTCACATTTTTATTTCAGTATTTCAGAATATTACGATAATTAACAATATCAATTATTCAGAACTGGTAGTAATATAGTATGTATATTTTTCTAATTATTCAACCAAAAATAATATATTTCTTTAAAAATTAACGAATGGGAAGAATAAAGAATTCTAATTCTACACTAACACTAAGTTACATTTTCCTCGGCTCCAACTAAAATGGACAAAGCTGGTTTTTCCCGTGTAGTTTTCATTTTATTTATACTAAGCAGAACCTCCAATATCTAAGTTATATTTCCGTGTTCGTTATATTTATTTAATTTTGAATGTAATTCTTATGAATTGTATTTCTTTTACTTACTAAATATGAATGTTTTTTTTTTGCTTTGTTTTGTATATTTTAATAAAGCTCTTTTCCCATTTTCTTTTTAATATACTATGTAGCTGCATTTTTATTTAGTATTTCTTTAGATTAAATTGTTCATTCTGATAGTCAATCCCGGGATTATAGGTTCTAATCTCGGGATTTCAAAACGGCTTCCCGATCCCGAAAATTACAAACCCTAGGTTACAGATAAAAGTAAAACTGAATATACAAACCAAAACAACTACACACTTCAGCTTCAATTTGTTTGTATTTTTATTCATTTGGCGAAATAGCGATGAAACAAAATAAAACGCCTCATGTTCCATCTAAGGATAGAGACCTTAAATAATTCACACTACTAGTTGTTACATTAGAAGATCAAAAGAAAATGCATCCTCATTGTGAACTAAATATAGATTTAAAATAATCTGCATGAACACTATCAACTCTCACCTTTACAATTTTTTTTGCCTTGCTTGAAGAATTTTATAACGTTTCCACAAAGATATAGATTTATTTTGAAGTTCGTACACTTTCTAATTTTGAAGAAAGGGTGTTCCATTTAAAAAAATACAACTATAATATTTTTACTAATTTGGGACACTCTGTATCTTGCAAAAATATTTTTAAATTGTAGCTCTAATAGTCCTTCAACGAACCCAAAACTTACAATTTGTAAAAATCTAATTGTTTAGCTATAATGTCGTATGTGGTGAACAACCCTGTATTACTTGAGACATACTTTATAGTTTCATATAACTGATTAAAATTTACAATCAGGAGTTGATGATGCAGGAGTCAATTATCACTATGAATATCTTAATAATTATAATCATTAATTGATGCATTATGTATGCAAATTCTTAAAAAATACATTTAAGTTACCTGCGAGACACAAAAACAATCTAAATGCTGTCTATAACCTTCAATTTTAAAGTTCTGCAAATGAGAGAGAGATAACAAATACATTTGTAGTATTTGAAATAAAGCAAAGGTGTTTGTAAAACATCAAATAAAGTGTATAATTTTACTCACATTTTCTTTGTTAAAAAAAAATCGACAAACCACGTCATTTTTACCAGATAAGCGAATTTAGTTTTAAAGATGTTTAGTTTTAAAAATAGCAAGATAATTTTTTTAAAACTTAACTTCTGTGTAAATAGGCATAGAATAATGATCCACAAGTTAGTACTAAAAAAATAAGAACAAAATTTAACACACCTCTTAAAAAGGTTCACCATCCTTACCATATAAAGTGAATCTTCATACTTTTTGTCCAGATCAACAAGTAAAACAAAAGTTGAATGATTTGCTAAATCTATACCTTTGAAGAAACGTCATAAACAAAATTATTAAAACAAAATCTTTAAAAAACCTCTGAAAACCGTATATTTAATTTTGAGTAAGATAATTATAGTATATTTTTTTTGATTCTGTAAAGAATTATTTGGAAATTAAATAAAACCTCTTTTTAAAAATTTCACGACTGCACAATATTAAATAGATTTTTTTTAATGATAAAACAAATTTAGAAAATTTTAATTCTGAAATATTTAAGGTTAGTTAGATGATGTATTTTTTTAATAATAGCTCTAGTATTATATCCAATGTATATTTTTTTATTCATTTATTCCTTTGTGTAAGTTTAAAATTTAACATTTTTCAATAGAAACATATTTCTCTTACGTTACTATGATTTAATCATAATTTTTTTTATTACTTTTATAAGTCACAACTACCGTATGATCAAATAAAAACGGCGTCGGCGATGACTATGAAATGAAGATCACTGTCAAATTATATGGAAAATTTCCAAGACAAACGTGGACGCCGTTTTTTTTTCGATCATACAGTAAGTATTATTTAATTGTTTTATAGTATAATAAAAATAGATATAACAAATTAGAATACAAATAAGTATTATGTAATCTTTATAAAAGGCAATGATAGAATATACACTGAAACCACCTACTACTATTAAAAAAAAAACACCATAAATTTGAAAACTTCTATCCCTTAAATTTAAATTTTGTATCTACCCAAATTTAGAGATAAATTTAGCCCCAAACATTTTTTTTTGTTTTAATTATTAGCTAAAAATTTGTAATTTTTTACCATTTCAAACAGTGAGCTTGTGAGACATGGTCATGTGAAGATAGTAGTAATTCGACTAGGTAGAAGGGTGATCTGAGGGTCAACCGGGCTAAAGCTCACTGGCTCACTTGTAGTAGTAGTAGTAGTAGACTAGGAGTCAATCTTGTACTTTTTTGGTTTAAGCAGTCGTGTCGAAAGCTGACTCTGAACAGAAGCGTGCCGACGTCACTCTACTGCTCGACGATTCTACGCAGCTCTGCGAGTGACGAGAGTCTTACAGACACACGAGAAGATCAAGAGCATACTCATAGCGTTCGTTACCTGACTATCGACCACATGCTATTGACCTATAAACATGGCACCATATTCAAGCCGATTTTTCAAATTAAATTACATTCAGTGTACTGAGTCTGAATAAAAATGGCTCAATAAAAAAATACTCTGTGCTGTACAACAACCAACACTGATACTAAAAAAAATACAAAACTAAAATTAATAAAAAAATACAAAATAAAGAATAAACCAAGAAAAGTTGTTATACAGCACAAATAAAAACTGAACATGTAACTATCAGGATTTTTCAAGTTTGACAAAATTAAATTTTAAGAAAAAAAAATAAACTTATCACTTGCATAATCCACAATAATTACAATAAGTTGTTTTAAAAAAAGAATAAAATGTAACAAACTGGAAAAGAAACTTACCTATCTCGGCGACTACCACCGCCTCTTCTATATCTACTGCAGTCTCTTGCATAATGACCTCGGTCACCACACTCGTAGCAACGATCATCTGGATGGAAAGGACGCCCACGAGACCTTGGGGGTGGACCACGGTAACGTCCACCACCACTTTTGGCATTGGACATTTCTACCCGGGCTCTACGACCACAGATTGTTCTTCCATCTTATGAAAAATAATGTTTTATTTCTAGTTACCTAAAATATCCATTAATACTCACCTAAGCCTCTCACAGCATCTTCTGCATCTCTTGGATCTTCGAACTCCACAAAGGCAAAGCCGGGTGGATTCCGGGCCACCCAAACATTCCTCAGGGGGCCATAATACCTAAAAGAATCCTCGATGTCCTGCTTGGATGCACTGTTGCCCAAGTCGCCCACATACACCTTACAATCAGAATTGTAACGAGACATGTTCTATTTCTGAAAACGTAGAATTTATTATCGATCCGTTTGAGCGGCAAGGACGCCCACATTTGTTTACCAGTCACAAAAATGTATAATAAAAAAAACTTACCGTAAAACCTGACTCGAATTCTGTAAACTAATTTGCACTATAGCAATGAAACACGAACTACGTGTTTATCGGTGCATTTCTAGAAATAAAACAGCTTTTATTATTATTATTTAAAAATCAAAGCAAAAGCCGCACAATGGCGGAACCCGAACATAAATGACAAAGAAAATGGACACCCAGACAGCGTTGCCAGATCATCAATTAATACCAGAGATTAATACATTTAACATCTGTTTAATAAAAACAAGTATTAAAAATTAACTTTGCCATTTTTAATCATAATGATACAATAAAGTAAATTTCTAAAATCACCTTGCTCTAATTATTGTAAAGAAAAGAAATCAAAATTGTCAAAAATATATAAAGCACAAAATATTTTTTTAGATTACTGTAAGACTTGGCATCCCTGAATAATACAAACAGTGACGCGCATGTTTGTAAATAAAATCAATTTGTTTTGGTTTTTAAAATAAATTAGGAACGTTAAAACAGCAACAGCATAATTTATAAATGTTTATTTTAATTAGAATACCTACCAGCTTTTAATTTGTTAAATTAAAAACTTGAGCAATCCAAGAAACTGGCAATAAATTAAATGGAAATGATAATAGAAAATTTAAAAAAATTAACCAATGAGAGCCGCATTTTTTGGCGGGTAATTTAATTATTCTTATTTACTTTTCACATTATATTTCTAAATGTTTATTTGAAAATGGAGCAAAACTACGCGAGCTTTAAGAATGTTATGTTTCCAACGTTCACATTTTACTTAACTCAAGGCCAAAATAACAACATTTAAATGACTTTACTTAAGAATTATCTAATCAAAACATGCTACGTTTCTAGATAAATAAGATGTGAATTTCCAAATATATTATTTGAGTGATATGCAAAATTGTAAACTAGAATTTCGTTTTCTTTGAAAGTTGGAATACCAAATGATTTGATTTTGTTTAAATATTGCATCAAGTTTATAAAATTCTTAGGTACTTGCTGAAAGAACAGGCAAATAAGGAACCTTCATAATAAATTCAAGGTAATTATAACTGTAAACATCAGCTCTTTTATTTGACCAAGATGACTTTATTATGTTTAAAACTTATCCTTATCTTTGTATGTATTAAATGGTAGAAATAGTAATTTTTATTATAACACTATGACCCTACAATTTACTTTATTTTAGTACCAGTACCATGGCACTCGATTTTAAAACAGTACCAGTAGAAAAGAAGGCTCTATATGTACCATCTTTAGAAGAAGTAGCTGAAGGTAACACAACTTCAATATTCATAAACCTATTTTAACTAAATAGTTAACTCTTATGATTAGATATAATGATTTCTTCTGGTAGTTTTTAGGTCAACTTTGCCTGATAACTATGCTGAAGTGTCTGTTGATGTAGTAGACTCCCCTGACCTAACACAAAAGCCATTTCTTTTGGCCAATAAGGGTAAATATTTACATACAAAATACAAATTTTCTACTATAACCAGAACATAATCTTTATTTAAGGACTCAATGGAAATCCAAAGGTAATTGAAATTGGGGGACCTCCATACCTGCTGCCTTTAGTTCAACGAGATAAGGTTTATGACCTAAAAGACGTAGCAAATTTAGTTCATTCTGATCCTGCTTTCTTGATAGGTGCTGGGGCAGGACCCCACCCTTATATCGGAGTCAACTGTGAGGTACCTACTAAATAAATACCCACAATATGTTTAATTTAAACACACCTATTAAGTATTACTTCTTATATTATTTTGATAATTCTCTTAAGGGTGTCATTAATGTTAACATAGCCAATGGTACTGTGGATCAACACACGCGCGTATCAAAAGTGAATGGTACCGATGAACACATGGTTGTGCAAGTTCTACCAAATAACGAAACAAGAATAGCTCTACTTGGAAATATATTTATTTCCGAAGGCCGGCCAGGAAAAGTAATTAAGGTTCACGTCAAAAAGCGTACAGGGAATAAAAATTTTATCGAAGCCCTTAGAAATGGAATAGAGAATAAGTATGGAGACAAACAGCTGGTAGGAATTGGTGGTGTGTTCCTTATAGCCAATGGTAAAGTTAAGCAACATGTTATGAGGGATTTCTCCAAACTGCCTATCACAAGTGACGAAGGAGTTACTGACTGGCTTAAATTTTATGAAATGTCAGCTCCCCTAACTGCTGTTGGCACTTTCACTAGCAATGGAGGTGTAAGTTATTAAGTTATTACACAGAATTAACAAATAACTGATATTTTTTCTTTATATGCCTTGTATTTTAGGGTGACCTTGATTTGAGAGTTCAGCATTTTCATAGCTTTAGTACTCATGGAGAAGCAGGGCACTACCATTATGACACCACTCCTGATACAGTGGAATATTTGGGTTACTTCAATATAGGCCATGAAATCATCAGAATTGACAAGCCCACTGAAACACATCAAGTTGGAAGAGACTAAAAAATTCCTACATTTATTTAGTTTTGATTGTTTAAAAATAAAAACAAAATACAACTGGTTGTGTTAATAAACTTAAGAGTTATTAGCATTATTTGAATTACTTATCTCTTTATCATTCCTTTGTTACCAATAAGAATCTGTAAAATATAGCTAACACATACCTAATTATCAGAAAAAACTACCATTGTTCCAGAAAATTATCAGCTAACCAAATTCAAATCTTGTCATTGGTCTGCATTGACTATTGTTTGACCTTTGCAAAACACTGTAACTACACTCTAGGTGACTGATACAAGAATGGCCAGCAAAAGTGGTAAATTTCTGTATTTTGCTTATGGTAGTAATTTATTAACTCACAGGATACACATAAATAATCCAAGTGCTGAAAGAATTGGCATTGGTCGTCTCAATGTAAGGTTTTCATATTATTTTACATTTTTGAATCTATCTAGGTATATGATTTTGTTTAGGATTATCAAATCAGCTTCGTCACCTATTCAAAAAGATGGCATGGGGCTAGTGCAACAATTATATCAAAAAAACATGGAATAGTTTGGGGAGCACTCTGGCAAATTGACAATGCTGATATGGATCATCTAGACAAGTAAAAGAACAGGACATTGTATTTTTTAAACACTTACTTTCACTATTTCAATTCTGTAAGGTGCAAAGTGCAAATGAGATACAACAAAATCTCCGGCTAAAAACACTAGAAAAACACGTTTTCCATTTGCAAAACAAAAAATAAAAATCACAGATAAAAATTATGAAAATTAAAATTATCATATTATACATCTACCTTAGGCAACTCTAAATACACATCCGACATCCGAGGCGAAATGGCCTTAATGGAAGCCAGAAATAAGTTTTCTTAAATAATTACAAGCTTTACATTTTTTTTTCTATGATTAGAACATTTATATTTATAAATAGTACATTATCTATATTTATATACTTACACATATTGTACATAAATATTTTTTAGGCAAGAGGGAGTTCATGAAAATCTTTACCAACCGTTGCAAGTAGATATTTGCATGCCAAGTGGTGAAAAGGTAAATGCAAGAACGTATCAACAATTAGCTAATCCACCTGATGTTAGTGATCTCAAAGATTTGCCTAATGATTGCCGTCCGTCCGTCGCTTACTGGAAAACAATAGTAAAAGGAGCCGAAGAAACTGGATTGCCTAAAGAATATATCCATTTCTTGCACCAAATACCTCATAATGATTATCACGGTCCAGTTGATATTAATTTACCTTTATGGATTCACTGATTATTTATTATATGATTATCTTGCTACCTAAATAAACCTGATAGTTTCAAATTATAAAATGTTTTTATACTTATTTATAATTTAAAAAACTATAATTCGACGTTATGCAACTAAATAATCACCAAATTATTTTGACACGTCGAAATCGAAGACATGTCACACGTCAGCAGGACTCGATTTTATGTGAAAAATTGTTAGAAACCGGCTTTAAAAATCTTTAAATATGATAAAATTTCTATTTCTTCTTGTGATAACTCTGTTTTCAAGCGTAAGGTCTCAAGGAAATACCCTTGTACTTCTAGACAATCAAGTTATTAAGGAAACTCATTCATTATTTTTTAAATCATTGCAAGGTCTGTATCTGAAAGGTGTTTCTAGGACTCGATATAGCCAGATAATTTATATTCTTTTTCAGATAGGGGCTATTCACTAACTTATAAAATAGCCGACGATGCTTCTTTAATTCTATCAAAGTATGGCGAATATCTTTATGAGAATCTTATAATTTTTGCCCCATCAGTTGTTGAATTTGGTGGCAACTTAAATGTAGACACTATCACTCAATTCATTGATAATGGAGGAAATGTTTTAATTGCTGGTAGTGAGAGCACAGGCGACGTTTTAAGAGAATTAGCATCAGAAGTTGGATTTGAGGTTGAATAGTTATTTAAATGTTTGCCAGTTTGTATATTAAGTACATTACAATATTCATAGGTCGATGAAGAAGGTGCATTTGTTATTGATCATCTAAACTTTGATGTTTCTGATGAAGGACAGCATACTAAGTTATTAGTGTCTTCTGAAAATCTTATTGATGCTCCTGTAATTGTGGGTACCAAGAAAGATGTAGCTCCATTATTGTATCAAGGAACTGGTATCTTGGCAGACAGTGAAAATCCATTAGTACTGCCTTTACTCACTGCTGACAGCACAGCATATAGTTATCAACCTGACCAACCTATTAAAGAGGTATAGATGTTATATATTTACTTTTGGCTTTTTTTGTTTAATATTACTATTTTTTTTCTAGTATCCCCATGCTGTTGGTAAAGATACTGTATTAATTGCCGGTCTTCAAGCTAGAAATAATGCAAGAGTTGTTTTCAGTGGATCTTTATCATTTTTCTCTGATGAATTCTTTACTTCTTCCATTGAAAATGCACAGGTATTATTAAATAAATGTCTCTTAACATTTATTAATTTTTTATCTTGATAGAACGGAGTGAAGTCACCTAAATCAGGAAATGAAGATGTTGCTACAGCCATTAGTCAATGGGTGTTCAAAGAACATGGTAGATTAAGAGTCAAGTCTGTAAATCATCATAAAGCTAGTGAAAAACAGCCCCCACATGACTACACAATTATGGACGATGTTGTATGTTTAACTGAAGGATATTATTTTTCCAAAACTAACTCATTAATATTTTAGGTTTATACTATCGGCATTGAGATATACGATAATGGAAAGTGGAAACCGTTTACTGCAAATGATGTTCAATTAGAATTTGTAAGAATCGATCCTTTTGTAAGAATGACACTTCAAAGCAATCCCAAAGGAGTTTACGAAGCCCAATTTAAGATCCCAGATGTTTATGGTGTATATCAGTTTAAAGTTGACTATGACAGGGTTGGATTCACTAGATTGTACAGCATTACTCAGGTAAATATTTCTATTAACTTTTTTATAATTATGTAATATATTTTTAACTATTTTTAGGTATCTGTTCGACCTCTGGAACATACTCAGTATGAAAGATTCATTGATTGTGCTTATCCCTACTATGCTGGTGCGTTCTCCATGATGTTGGGAGTTTTTGTATTTTCCATTGTGTTCTTGCATATGAAAGATGACGAGAAGAAGACCAAAGGAGAGTAAATTAATGTAATAACACTAAGATTTAATCAGTTGTGTTTATTGTACACATAAGTTAGCCCAAGACTTTTTTGTTACATATTAATAAACAATTTAAATACTGATTATGTATTCTTTTCTTCAATAAGTTTATTTTTTCAAATTAATAAATCCTGATGTGTTTGAAAAGTATTTTGCATTGGCTTCATTAACATTGGTTTCTGCTGCTTGAGGGTTAACAATTTCAAGACCCTATAAAGAAAATAATATTAAACATTAAAAAAAAACTTAAAAGAACTTTCAATCAGATTTTAGACATATTTCTTTTCAACATACAGAGATTTAGAACCTACTGGAACCATTACCAAATATGTGTAGAAATGATAGTGTTTTTTGAGTAAGTGTAAATATTTTCAGGAGTGGTAGATCTTGATAGTTGATCTTGAGTTTTTTTTCCTTTTGTTAGCAAAATAGCATAAGAAGTTTAATGCTGATTAAAAATTGTCTCTTGATATTTTGTCGATTTCGGCCTCCTTGATGAGATAAAGGCAATTTTATTAATTTGCCTTGATCCAAGTCTAATAGCAACCTTTAAAAAAATTTAATTTAATATCATTAACTTGCAAAAGTTATAAATAAGTAATCACTGATTTCTCATCAAAAAATATGAAAAAAGTCACACCCTGTGACTCTAAAACATTTTAAAAATAGTTTTTTTTCTAATTATCTTAAATACCATTATTTTTTATTTGAAATTGCTGTAGGTTGGACTAATAGTAATAATAATTATTAATAAATTAGGTAAAATAAATTATTAATTTTATTTTTATTTTAATTTTATTAATTGTGATTAATAAAATTGCGTTTATCTCATCAAGGAGGCCGAATTCGACAAAATATCAAGAGATAACTTTTAATTGGCATTAAAGGGCCAATACAATTTTGATATCAAAAGGTAAAAGTCAATGGCGCACATTTTTTTGAAAAATATTCCAGTGATAACCCATATGCACGTCCCTGATGAATTTATCGACACTTTTTTACCATTAAAATATGTGGCACTTATAGTAACTTTTACCCTCAAAATTTCATTCGAATTACTAAAAGTACTTGGAAGAAAATTATAATAAATCGAAAGATTATTAAGACTTTATTAAATCTTTTTTTAAGTGAGGAATCTCCTCACGTGAGATGGCACAAGCTTTTTGAAACACCCTGTATATTAACACAATATATTGCAAATTATACAAATTTTAGTGTGGCTTGTTCAGGGGTTTAAATAAAGCATTCAAAATATTTCCACTTATTCAAGAAACACATTTTCCTAAATATTTCAATACTAATACTTCCAATTCTATAAAAGGTAATAGCATATAAAGAAGCATATTGCTCTATATTATTTTCTTACCTGTAAAGGCGTGAATGCCACACTTGAAGCAGTACCAGATATTTGTTTTTTCACTGTAGTGCTTCCTCCCCAAATCTGCTGTTTTTGCATGTTCTTTTGCAACGTTTTAGATATTCTAACTTTAGTTTTTTCATCTACTTGCGGCAATCTTATTCTTCCTGTTCCAGCTTTACCAATAGTACCCCTAGTGTATCCTAAATCCTCCTGGTAAGCATCATCCTCAATCTAAAACAGTTTATCAATTAGTTAACATAAATAAAATCAAATTAATACAAATTATGTTTGGACATTACCTCAGCAAAGTTCATTCTGTTAGCATGTTTTCGAAATTCAGTCAATGCATATCTTTCTTTCATTTTCCGAACTCTTTTTCCACCCCTTTTCTTCTTGGGCTGGTCAATGGGCTTCGGCAAGGGTTTAATGAACTTAACTGGTGGAGGTTCTTGAAGTTTATCCAGTTTTCTCTCAATTTCATCCCTTAACATTCTCCCTATCCTTCCATCCGAGCTTTCATGAGATGCATCTACTCTCGCTGCTAAAGTACATTTTGTGGCTACCAATCTAGCAGCTTTCCTTCTTAGATCCTACAATAAAATCACTGATGTTCCAACCGAATTAAATCAAGGCTTCAAAAATAAACTGCAAACTTACCGGTGGTGTATTTTGAACAATGTCACAGTAATAGACAAATCCTGTGTGAGGTAACATGTTAACTTGGCTGAAACCAGACAAGGTCTTTTTCTGTTGACCGAGCAATAAAACATTACAAGCGGGACTCTTAGATAATCTTGTTAACCCACCTGCGACACCCATAAGTTTTGCTGCAATTGAAGCACCTAATATAACTGTCATATTTGGAGCTATAAAAGTCATTCTGCTTTCAACATATTCGTATATTCTCAATTTAAAATTATTTAGTTCAATTGCCATGTCACAGGCCTCATCAATTTGCTCCTTTTCATATTTTGTGAGGAATGTTCTAAAATGGAAATAAAATAAGAAAAATAACAGTTTCATAAAATTGTGCAATATACCCTTGTGTAGTAGAAGCTGTTACGGAAACCACCATAATAGTAGCCTGTGTCAGAAACTGCTGTAATACTTCATTGTTTTTTGCTTGATCTAAATCATTTCCTAGTTCCTTCACAGTTTTAACATATTCTAAAGGACTTACAACTAAAGAATCTAACTCTGGAAACCTTTTCTGATATTTGTCTTTCACAAATTTATGAATAGTCACCTAAAAAAATATTAACCAAGTAAATTATACTTATACACCTATAGTATTTTTACGACTTACCACTTCACTGTCAACATCCTGAGCAATATCATTGGCCTCTACAATTAATTGATATTCAGAATCAGCTTCGACAGGTCCTATAATTTCTGTGGCCTTCCTAACTTTTGAACCATAATTCTCTATTTGCTTCATTACACTGAGCAACTTCTCTGAATATCTAAGTTTACACAGATCTAAAAATCACGAACAGAACAATGTAATTCAAATTCATTTAATTCAATTAAACAGCAATATTTTAAAAAAACAACTATAAACTAAGGACACATTGGATAAAGAAAATTAAATATATTTACCTCTAATAGAATTAATCTGAGTTGTGTCTATTTCCATTTGAAATTGTTTAATATCAGGCTTTTCCTCTTTTTCCTCAATCTCTTGTGTTTCCATTTCCTGGTCTGCTTCTTCTTCATCTTCATGATCATTTTCCTCCAAATCAGCGAGAAGTTCGTCTGCTAAGGACATTTTTTAATTATAATGTATCCTTGGCCAAAAAGAAATATTTTATCGTAAATATTGAAAAACTCTGCTCAAAAATCAAACTTCAACAAAACAAAGTTAGGTTAGTTGGGTTAGTTATTGACAAATGACATTGATTGACAACCTACTTCAAAGACCGTCATCAAGAGGGCGCCAGGAGGGCGCGAAACGCAATTTTTAAAATTTAATTGATAAGGACTGCATTTGCATTAATTTTTTTATTACGCATTCCATCAGAGATTCCATTAAATCCTAATTCCTAATTACAGTGAAAAGGTTCAAAAACTTAGATTTGATGTATATTCTATATTATAATATGTCTATATCTAAGATATAATATACATAATTAAAAAAATAATACCCCGTAATGGCAACCATGGCAGGACTGATTTTAAAAATATTTTCAGAGATTCAAATATTTTTATACTGAATTCCATAATTACTACAATATCAGAATCTATATTAAGTGGTTCCTGATATATTTTCTATCAAGTGTATTTAAAACTATTCTACAGATTTAGCTCCAAAATTCTAAAAATTACAAATTCTTTATATTAGTTAATTACAAATATTTTATACTAGACTATTACTAGAATTTTTACCTTTTTTACCGGAATTTATGAATTAAACAAAATGATTTGGTCTATGGATTTGGTTGCGCGCTTTTGTTTTGTTCTGTCAAATTATGAAAGAAGGAAATTTACGATACTTTTTTTATCAGAAGTATTTCAAAAAATATGTCTATATAAGTAGATAATTAAATTTTCAGTGACATGCAGAAAATTTGAATAATTAGTGGAAAAAACCATGACCTAGTCAATAGCGGGTCAGTGAACTAGAAAATAGTTTATCCAACAAAAAGTGTATTAATTATATCTGATATTAACTGAGAAATGATTTTAGTCACCTTTCACTTTTTTCTTTGACCATTTTTTTATCACACACAGAAAATCTAAAAAAAAATAAGAACGTCTAATGTATTGTTTAAACTGTAAATAATGTGTTAAAGCATATTTTGATTAATTCGTAGATTGGGTAACGTGGCATGAGAAATACGAAAGGGCAACTATATAAACCAGATGAAATAGAAAAACAACGCTCATCAATGCTATTTGTCGGTCCAGAATACCAGAATCCTTCTGCAGTGCCCTAAAGGCAATAACAAAAATAGAACAAAATAACAACAGTGTATTACAAGCTGAATTAGTACCTACATATTTAAATACTTTTAACAACTCAGTCGGCTACATGCGAGAGATAGCCGACGCTCTATACAGGGTGTCCGGAAATTAATGCAACAAAATTTGGTCATAGATTCTTGAAAAAATATATAGGTGACCCGTATTTTTTTATTTTTGGCTAGTGGCCCCCCTTTTCGTATTCACAGCCCCCTGAATTTCGCCCCTAAAAAAGTAATTTTTAAATATCTCAGGGCCCTGTTGGACGAAAATCACTAAATTTGGTACAGTTGTTTTTCCAAAAAATGACATTTTCTGATGCTATTAACTTTTTTTTATTTTTATCAGTGGCGTCTCTACGGTATTTAAACTAAATATTATTTGAAGAAAAAATGGTACGCCACTGTTTTTTTTAAATAAAAATTATTTTTAAAACCTACATTAAATTTGGAACAAATTTTATCACTTCATTTTTTTTTCGTACGACGCGCCGTTTTCGCGTAAAAAAATAAAAACAATTTTCATACATGACCAAATAGCTGAAATTTTAATGTAAATTTTCGTAGCAAAATTAAAAAGACGGTAATTTAGGTTTTTGGACATTTTGGTTCGCACTTAAGTAATAAAACAAGATTTTGGAAAATAAAAAATTATTTTAAACTTAAGCTTTGCGTTTGAAAAATGTTGCCATTGAAATTTACGGTAAAATTTTAGCGATTTAGTCATGTATGAAAATGGTTTTTATTTTTTTACGCGAAAACGATTCGTACGAAAAAAAGTCAAGAGATTTGTAGAGATTTGATGTAGATTTTAAAAATAATTTTTATTAAAAAAACAGTGGCATACCCTTTTTTTCTTCAGTAATATTTAGTTTAACTACTGTAGGGACGCCACTGATGAAATTAAAAAAAGTTAATAGCATCATAAAATGTCATTTTATGGTAAAACAACGTGTACCAAATTTAGTGATTTTCGTATAACAGGGCCCAGAGATATTAAAAAAAAACTCTTTTTAGGGACGAAATTCAGAGTATTGTAAATCCGAGGGGCCACTAGCCAAAAATAAAAAAATACGGGTCACCTATTTTTTTTCAAGAATCTATGACCAAATTTTGTTGCATTAATTTATTAGTAAGATAAGAACAACTCAGTATGCTCTACTAACAAATTTTGCATATTGCTCCACTGTTAATCCCTGTTAAGATTTAAATCTGATGAGATTAACAGATATAAACAGACGAAACCATATAGTCACAATAGTGACGAGTGATGAGCAAATGCAAGACCAAAGTTTTGGTCTTGCATGGTCTTGGTCCTCTAGGAAGTCTTGCATTTTTTTAATCTGTTTTTTTTTCGAAGGTATTAGCGGCACTTTTGACCACCCTGTAACTTCGTTATGGATAAAGCAAAAATATTAATTTTTAGTAAATATGAGGACATAATACAGCTGGTTAAATTACCAAAATATCTACCTCTACCTCTAATTATACCTCATAATTTATGAATTTCTTTAATTTCGACATTGACTCATTGACAGATCATCAAAATTGTAAAGCCAGACCAAACAGACAAAACAGCGACAAGACAGAAACATTCATGTTTTCCGACAAAGTTGCGACAAATCCAATACATTTCTGCGACATTTTTGTCTCATTTTTGTTTTGTTTCCAAATTCGGAGACTTTTGAATGTCCTGTCCATTGGCGTAACTACAGGGCTGCCCTGAGGTGCCCCCTCCCCCCAAAGGTACTGCTGGGCACCCCCCAGAGAAATCTTGAATTATGACTTTTGGCTACATATTAATTTTTATTTGCTTGTGATGTAGTAAAGATGGCGTTTCTAGTTTTGTTTAGTTAATATTATTTTGTTATGTTTAAAAAATGTGTTAATTTTTATTTTTTTAGAAAATTTGTAGCTATTTAAGTAATCTACGGGAACACGGTTTGATAACCAAGTCTATGAAATTTATTGATGGAGAAATGCATGTAAACCCCCATTGCGCTAATGGTTCCGTCTCGAGTCGGTAAAGTTCAGAGTCTCTGTTTTGTCGTGTATTTTACGACAAGTTGTCGGTGCAGTGTGGATGTCGTGCGTTGCCAAAAGTAGAAAACTAATGGATTCACACAAATTTAGTACTGTGGAGTGCTGGTACTACTAATATATGCCGTTAGTATATGGTGGAGTGCTCCATCTTTATAAAAAAACGTCAGAAGAGATAAAGTGGAGCACGGATAATGCCTGCAAATTAATAGAGCTTTATAGAGCGCATTTATTGTTATGGGAGGGTGAAAACAAGGACTACAGAAATTGTTACAAGAAAGCTGGTGCATTAGGGGAGATTTGTTTAGCATTAAATATAGAATCGGTTGATGATGTTAAGAAGAAAATAAGAAATATTAATAACTATATAGTATACGAGAAGAAATAAAAACAAAAACATTATTTGGTGTTTCTTTTTGCAACATGGAATGGCGAGTCAAAGACAACACTACTGGCTGCTAGTAATATATCTTTATCTTCTTTCTGGTAGAAAGGCCACATGATTAATAAAACTAATTCGCATATACTGAACTTTGTTGTACTTCTGTCCTCGCAGTATAGACACTTTGTCTCCAATTTGTCTCGTCTGAATTTATCATTTTGTCACAGGTTTGTCTTGTTTTTGTCTCACAATCGTGTTCACTTTCGGTCGCCTTCGTCTGGACCCGGCAGCGATTTTACTAAATATATACTATTACAGCACAAGACACGGCCCCAAATACGTCATTGGAAAATATAATCTAGCTCAGCACATTCCTCCAAAATCTAAACGTTTGCAGCACAACAACGTGGCTGAGTCATACAAATCGGTTGAAATGGAATAAATTGAATTTTAATAGATACTCTTTTAATTGGAGCTATATCTAATATCTGCAAAATAAAACAGCACACAGCAACATCTAATGAATTTTGGAATTAGGAAGATTAGACATGATATTAAGGGACAGGTTGTGTTTTCTTTTTCTGGAAGGGCGCCCACTTTGAATTCTCTGTCCCCCCATTTTAGCATTTTGTATCTTTCTTCTACTGCGTGCTGTAGGCTGGACTTTTTTTAATTTTGTTTTTCGTTTGATACACTGCTTGCTAGCTAGGAATGAATCCAACTGACTATCTGTGTTAATTGCTCTTAGGCTTCCAACAAACTTTTTTATTAACTCTGTATTACAACTCTCATGTTTTGCTAAATCTGCAATACGGCTAAACTCCCTTTTCAGACTTTCCACTACATTTTTATGTTCTTCGCTACCTAAAACAAAAAATATTAAGCAAGTAACAATATTATAACTTTTAGATTATCTTACAAGGTTTACTTTCAATATTTTCAACATCAGTTATAGAATCCGATTGGGTTTGATTACTTATGCGTTTAAAGTGGTATTGCATTCCCCAAATGCAACCGAATCGTCGTTTTCGATTATGTTTTTAAAAAATGAACAGTTTTTTACCAGTGGCTAGATAAACAATTATTTGTCGGTCATTTTCCGTTAACTGGGGACTCGATAAAATATTGATTCTAAACGAATTTTCTACAGCACATAAATGTTTGCAAAAGGCCCTTCCTGTTCCACTAGCGCAATTGCATAAGGCGGAATTTGTTAGAACAGTATAATGCATATTTTTGTCTTCAGCTGAAGAAACTAAAAAAGTTTCATTATCTATTTTCTTAACTGTTAGATTTCCAATTTTATCTTTAAATTTTAAGTAGTTTAAATTAATTTTCGTTTTTCTGTTGCAAATGATATCAGACGTCTTTTATGGACATTCCAGAATATTGGTTATAAAATCTAATACCACAGCATTAAAGGATTTACATCTTTCCAGTATAATATCTATCAGTACTCTGGTAGATGCTTCAACAAAGTTGTTTGTGTTG